AAACATGATACTCTTGGACAAAAGCCGACTAAAACTTACCTCTTGGAAGCCCTAGGAACTAACTCTCTAACTCCCGTGCGTGACCGTGACCTCCGCGTGCGTTACCGACCTTCCGTGTAATATCCCGAGATATTATCAGTATAAATTACGTTTAATTCCGATATAGTAACGTTAGCGTTTATTATTTTCGGAATTAAATAAGTTCAGTCGGGATTACCGAAATCTATTTTCGGCGTACCGTTTACGTCCGAAAAAATTTTGGTAATTAAGTATTATGTTTAACTTAACAATTAAACATAAGATAAGTGATTAATTAACATTAATCACCATCTTTAGTATTAAGCCGTGGGTTAAGGTGAAATTTTTCCCAAAAATCAAGCTAAGGGCCGTGAGCTTTCTTTGGCATAAGGAAACCATTTTGAGCCAATAAAAATTTGTCACTTGTTAAGGTAAGAATGAGCTTAGTCATCACAAGATTAAGGAGAGTTTAGCAAGTGTTAAATGCCTAAGAAGCCACGCTAAAGCATCGTCATCACCCCTCATAACCGATCGTCTATATAAGCATAGCAATTGGGGAAATTTTCACCACTTTTCCGTAAGCACCGTTCAGCAAATATAAACCCTTCTACCAGCAGCAAGTTCATCCAAATTCTCCCAATAATTTCCACTTCAAACGCACGGCAATCGCACGGCAAGTGAGGGCATCGCACGGGGACACGCGAGGAAGGAAGGCCGTACCTGGTTTCCGACTTAGATCAGTTTAGCAGAGAAGGTATCATCTTATTCAATTCATAATCCTAGTAGTAAGTTCAGTTCAGAGTGAATTGTTCAAATTTTATTTGAGAAATTCTAAGAAAAACCGTACCTAAGTCCATGTATGTTATCACCGAACAAAGTTCGATTCTCTCCGACAACTTTCGAACCCTGATTACCTAAATGTTCAGTTTAGTCTAATTAATGCTCAATAGGATCTGATTGTTGAGTAAATATGCAGAAAAGCCGATGAAATGGCCCCAGCCGGCGCCCCCGCGCCTATTGCGCATAGCCTCGGGTAGCCAAGGGCCGAGGCTTGTTACTTTCAGTATTAAGCATAACTGTTCGTGTGATTAGTCCTTATATTGCTTCAATTTAATAATCATGCTGAGGTGTTCGGTAGTTGTCGGATAATATATAAGATCGGCCGAGGGACGGCACGTAGCCGTCGGCGGCGCTCGGGCGTTCGCCGCGGCCTTTGATGTTCGATATGTGTTGGCTGAACTTTCAAGTCATTTTTGACAAGTTTATTCATATTAAGTTCAGTTAAGTTAAAATGGTCGATGTCTGTTTCAGTTCGGTCGAAGATGTGGCCAAGGGCCGTAGGCCTCGCACATAGCGAGTGCACCACGGCCGAGGGTTCAGT